ATTGGAAGAAGTCACCCCCTGTGAGTGGCTGGCTGAGGTGCCATCTGTTGAGGAAGTATTGAAGGCGATCCAGAGTCTGAGACCAGGAAAGGCAGCGGGCAGAGATGATCTCCCAAGCAAAATCCTGAGGGAGGGCGGCGTTTGTGCACAGACTGCCCTATATGACGTCATAACAACAGTCTGGACCACTGGACGGGTTCCGCAGGATTGGAAGGATGCCCTGGTGGTCCCCCTTTTTAAGAAGGGGGACCGCACAGACTGTAACAACTAGAGGGGCATCTCACTCCTCAGTGTGCCGGGAAAGGTCCTGGCAAGGATTATTCAACATCGCCTTGCCAGGCACGCTGAGGAGAGGCTTGCGGAGCCCCAATGCGGTTTCAGGAATGGGCGGTCCTGCACAGATGCCATATTTTCTGTCCGTCTGCTACAGCAGAGCTGTAGGGAATTCCAACAAGACCTACATCTCTGCTTCATTGACCTGGTCAAGGCCTATGATACCATCAGTAGGCCTGGGCTCTGGGTTGTTCTTCGTGCTTTTGGAGTACCTGACCCTCTGCTCACGATCATTAAGGACCTTCATGATGGTGAGCGGGCCCGGGTAAAACTACGTGGCCGGGAGTTAGAGCCATTCCCTGTACACCTTGGGGTGCGACAGGGATGTCCTCTGGCTCCCACATTATTTAACATCTATTTTGACCACGCAGTTCGTGAAGACTTCAATAGCTGTACCGGGGGAATCTCCATATGGTACAGATATAATGGGAGGCTGATCGATGCCCGGGTGCGGTAAAGGGATGGCTCCCTATTGCTCAACCACGTTATGTATGCTGATGATTTGGTAATAGCTGCTCATTCAGAGGAGGAGTTGGAGACGCTGCTGCTGAGACTGGATCGTGCCACTAAGAGGTGGGGCCTTACCATCAGCCCCACCAAAACTAAGCACCTGCCTGGGTATTTTGTACTATCGGACACTCCACCCCCACAACTCCCAATCGGTGATGGGGCAGTTGTGGAGCGAGTGGAGAGTTTCCCATACCTGGGCAGTGTGCTTATGACTGGCTCCAGTTTAACAGCAGAGGTCTCACTCCGAATCAGTCGAGCGGCAATATCCTTTCATCGGTTGCGTAACGCTGTGTGGAAGCTACTTGGTCTGTCGCTCCGCACTAAGCTTCAGGTCTTCTCGGCCACGGTCATTCCCTCCCTTCTCTATGCTTGCGAACGTGGACCCCCCTAATGGAACATCTTCGCCGGTTAGAAACATTCAGGCTGGCCAGCCTACGATCCATCCTGGGTTTAACCAGACTGGATTGTGTGAGGAGCTCACAAATCCTTGAAAGATCTGGGCAAGGTCCCATCGGTGAGCTCCTCCGGCGGGGAAGGCTGCGATGCCTGGGTCATGTAGCCCGCATGCCCAGCCACCGCATGCAGAAACAGCTTTTGTTCGGCCGGATTGAGGGGGCTAAGCGGGCGTGGCACGGGCTAGAGAAGAGATGGAGTGATGTGGTACAGGAGGACGTGGAGCTGAGTGGACTTGCCGATGACTGGTACCAGTGGTGTCAAGATCGGCCTCTGTGGAGGAGGCTCGTGAAGGACGCTACTGGGCAGTTGGAGGCAGTCGCCCTCCAATAGCAACGGAGGGCGGAGGAGCGACGCTAAGAACAACGAGCGGAGCGCCGGGTGGCTAAAGCACAGCAGGTTGGCACAGTAGGGGGCACAGGTGCTGCATCATCTCAGTCATCTCAGTCAGTCGACCAGTGGCACCTGGGTCTGCCCCGTGACCTCCTGCCAGCGGGCGTTCGACACTCCACGTGGCCTCGGGGTGGACATAGCCTGGCACAAGCGTCGTCGTGACGTCACCGCCACTTAGTGGCGAATGGCGGTTGCTGTTGTTGTTGTGTACAAGTGTGTTTGTACAAACTGTGACGGTCAGACATTTGTGACGATGTGTGACGAGGGGGGAGGGGGGGGTTGATGTCACATCAAAATGCGCAACTTTAAATATAGACAACACGTTCTATTTAATTAAATAAACTTTTAAATAAATATTTTCTCCTACATCAGAGTGTAGCACCACATTAAATACGCACTACAATGACAATAGTTTTAAGCGATTTGAAGCATGTTTTTATTTTTTTGGGGGGGCAGAGCTTTGTGACGTCATATTTGAGGGGGAGCGTCTGACTTTTTGCGACGTCGTGTCACGAAGGGGGAGGGTCAAAAATCGCGTGACGTAATTTATGGAGGTGTGTACAAACACACGTCCATAAATGATGATTATTGCTTGTGTTGCAGTCGAAACTTCGTGAGAATTGTATTGTTTATTTTTATTATTTTATTGTTTCCCTTCTACGTGACTTTACCGAAAGAACCAGGAATATGAATCCCAGCAGTCACGAAAGCTTTAAATCAAAACATTATCTTGGTCGTGTGTGATTGACATATTTCGCATTATCTCTTCTGAATGACCCAAGGTCTCATACTTTCATAATGACTTGGTTCATGTTTAACCAAGATTTGTGGTATACCATAGTTGTTACCACGGATATTACGAGGTTTAATTAACATTTGTTCCCAGTCTGTTTTGACAGGGATCCGTGATTCTTATTCTCAAGTTATATTTTGATATCCTGAGGTTGAAGATATAGCTAAGCTTCAAACCTTACTGTTGTATTTAAAAACCCCAGTTAGTTGATAATGATTAACTGCCCTTTGTTGTATATGCCGGGTTTTGGAAATTTGATGAAAATAATAAATGAAACATGAAGAAATACATAATTATCCGAAATTATGTTAATTGATACAAGTATGCACATAAATTATGCTGATTATAGAGATATTCGTATTCGTTTATGCGAATGTGTGCGATGATGTTAATGTAAAACGTTATGATAATTAGGCCCTCCCTCGTTGTCGAGGGTAGTATTACCAATCGGGATAATACAATTAATTGTATGAAGTTATGCAGGTCTGCTGTAAGTATGCTAGATTAAGCTCGGCTTCGTTGTCTACGTTCGTATTATCAATCGGTATAATACAATTATTCTCGCTTTAACATTTAACGATTATGTATTAGTGTGTTTATGTCAGGTTTCCAAATTAAATCTCACCGCAGGATACAGTTCTTATAATTAAGATTATTACGCATGAACTTAGGAAAGAAACACTTCTGTGTTAAGCAATTTTAATTTCAAAACATAATACTCTAATATGCGAACTCTTATGCTTGGAATTGTCAACACAGTACTCCTGGAGATGTTCTCCTCATCGATCCATACATTTAACCCTCAATGATCACGTTGTTAAATTGGGTAACAGAATAATCGATTAATTCCTTAGAGTAACGCGAACATATATGGTGATAGGAAAACGTCCTTAAAATTCATATGAAGGGCAATAAAGAAACATGTCCCGATGGCAAAAGTATACGGCAATGAATTCATTGGGAAGATTATGTAGCTTTAACTTTAACATAGCCATAGCCATTTCTGGGACCAGTCACAAGCTAATCACTCAGCCATTTCAATGCTAAATTCTATGCTAATTCCTTTGTCAAGGCGCTTTATGTCTTCTCACACAGCTTGAAGGTCGCGATCTGAGCGTGGCTTTTTCACTCCAGCGCTGTCGTCTAGACAGTCTCGTCCCTTCACCTGATGAAGGCCGCTTGTGTTGTGGCCGAAACGTCGTGAGAATTTTATTGTTATTTTATTTTATCAATTTATTATTTTATTCTCATTCTACGTGGTGACTTTACCGAAAGAACCAAAGAAGATGAATCCTTGCAGTCACGAAAGCTTTAAATCGAAATTTAAAGATTATGTAGTTACGAAATGTCTTGGGACAATGGTGTGCGACAGTCTGCCTGCTTCAGCAAATGCTCATCAATTGGCTGAGGCTTCAATTAATTCGCGGGTAAGATTCTGTGATCAAAAGAACGATTTCAACACAATATTCTCCCTGTGAGTGTGTAGATTCGTAACGTAGGTTTCTAAACGTTTGGTTTCATCAATTAATTCATTGGTAATAGTTATGCAATTAAAAAGAAAGTGAAAAAAAACGCCTAAAATACTTCTAAATGACTGTATCCACGTAACTCAATGGGCCGCAATGTTCATCGTTATCAGCTAGTAGTTGACGCACTTATCATGAGTCTTCTTGTAAGTGTTAATGTGTGAGTGTTGTTGATCTTCTTGCGCTAAGCAAAAGCCGAGGTTGGGCATCCCTTGTATCAAAAATGTGTTTGTCTCCAGCGGAGAGGTGAGGGTGTGCGGGTGGGCGTGTCTTCCAACGGTGGGCGTGTCTTACAAACGGTGGGTGTGTCTTACAATGGTGGGCGTGCCTTACAACGGTGGGCGTGTCTTACAACGGTGGGCGTGTCAGACAAACGGTGGGCGTGTCTTACAACGGTGAACGTCTTACAAATGTGGGCGTGTCTTACAACGGTGGACATGTCTCACAACGGTGGGCGTGTCTCACAACGGTGGGCGTGTCTCACAACGGTGGGCGTGTCTCACAACGGTGGGCGTGTCTCACAACGGTGGGCGTCTCTTACAACGGTGGGCGTGTCTTACAAACGGTGGGCGTGTCTCACAACGGTGGGCGTGTCTTACAAACGGTGGGCGTGTCTTACAACGGTGGGCGTGTCTTACAAACGGTGGGCGTGTCTTACAAACGGTGGGCGTGTCTTACAACGGTGGGCGTGTCTTACAACGGCGGGCGTGTCTTACAACAGTGGGCGTGTCTTACAACGGTGGGCATGCCTTACAACGGTGGGCGTGTCTTACAACGGTGGGCGTGTCTTACGTTGGGCGTGTCTTACAACGGTGGGCGTGTCTTACCACGGTGGGCGTGTCTTACAATGGTGGGCGTGTCTTACAACGGTGGGCGTGCCTTACAACGGTGGGCGTGCCTTACAACGGTGGGCGTGTCTTACAACGGTGGGCGTGCCTTACAACGGTGGGCGTCTTATAACGGTGGGCGTGTCTTACAACGTTGGGCGTGTCTTACAACGGTGGGCGTGTCTTACAAACGGCTTCGTTGCTCTCTCTCGCTCGGGGCGTCGGCTTAGCTGCCCGTCCGCTGACAGCAGCAGGCTCCTTCCCCTGCTGGAGGAGCTGCGCCGCACGCGCTCCCTCCTGCCCCGAGCTCTTTGTCGATAACCCGACTGCGCGTGCAGTTCGTTCGCCGGCGGCAGACACCCTTGCTCGTTATTCTGTTGCTCGGCTGTAGCTGCTGGTGGGAGCCGGCACTCTGGATGGAATGACTTTGAGCGACGCTTCTTCTGTCGGCTCTAAACTCGCGTTCGGTGACACGTCGCTACTCGGCGAGTCTCTCCATCCCCGGTTGATTGCAGAGTCTCACCCCGGAGCTTGCCGCTCGCCGCCCTCTTCTGAGAGAGCTGTCTCTTGCCGAGCTGTCCCTTGTCGAGCTCCCCATGTCGAGCTGAACTGTGTGTTGTGTTGCTGTTTTTATCCGAAAAATCTCCCCTCTGCGCGTCTCTTGCGAGAGAAAAAGAAACAGATGCTTTACTCCGTCATGCTCTAACCCCCCCTCCCCTCTTCCCTTGGTGACCCCGGGCTGCTTTACATCAAATTGATGTTTGTTTGCCCTTCCAACCCCTCTCTTCGCGGTGTCCGCCAAGGGAGGGGACGCACCTTTCATACGTTTTATGGCTACCATGTGTTTGTGTCAAATTGTTGGAAGACAAAGGCGGCCGGGGAGGCTCTGATTTAATGGAATACATTTATGTGGTCTTTGTGTTTGACCTATTTCTTGTACTTCTAATGAATTAGCCTAGGTCTAATCCCTTGTGATTATCATTTGGTTTGTGTTTAAGCAAGATTTGTAATGTACCATTAGATGTTACCTCCGGTATTTCAAGGGTTTTATTAACTTTTGCTCCCTGTCTGCATCCAGGGATCCGTGTTTTTTTTTATTCTCGAGGTCAGAGATATCCCGAGGGCTGGAGATATAACCAAGCCCTCACTTTCTTGACTGCCAGACTTCACATTCCTTGGTTCTCTTGGTGAAGTTACATAGATCGAAATATAAAATAAGAAACAATATGAGTTGAATAAGGGTGAAATTAAATATGTAATAAAGCCACTAATATAGACTGCAGTCTATCATGTCGACTTATTCTTATAGCCAAGCTTGAACTTTTTCCGTACGAAAAAAAATATCAGTTACAATGTCCGTTTGCCCTGTGCTCTGTGTCCGTGCCTGTGATTCTGGATATGTTTGCGATCGGTCAACAGTGCCAAGCATCTCATGGTATGTGGTCCTTTGGCAATCTGGAGATTTTGCAGATCGTCGTCGTTAACCTCCCTTTGCCCCCGGAGTTTATTATTTAATGGCCTTTTACGACCTCCAGATGCTTGGTGCTTGTGGGAGGTAGCGGGTTTGAAGGTGTTCATTTATATATTTAATCGATTATTAATAAAAAAATGGCATAATTATTCTTACTCTTTGGTTCTATTCGGTAAAGTCACGTAGGTAAAAAATAAAACAAAAATCACGACGTTTCGGCCACAACACAAGTGGCCTTCATCAGGTGAAGGGACCAGACTGTCTCGAGGACAGCGCTGGAGTGAACACAGCCAAGCTCAGACCACGACCTTTAAGCTGTGTGAGAGGAATTAAGGTGCCTTGACAAAGGAATTAGCATAAAAATTAGCATTTAATTGGCGGACTTAGCACGATGAACGGTGTAGAGGGGGTGAACATGTGCAGGCCGGTGAGGGGGGAGGGGGAGTTTACATATTGATGGTGTGAAAAGGGAATTTTAAGAAGCTGCGAAAGTTTGGGGTACCACTACTTGAAAAAATATACTGTACCATTGAAAATTAGTTTAATGTTTGGTTTGATTTAGAACATCTTTCCAATGGTTGCTTAATTTGAAACCATCTTCTCGGTTGAAATTGTGTCTGTTTGTAAATCTGAATTGCCTCGTGAACAAATCTCTGATAAAAACCCGTGGGTTTGCAAAGAACCTTGGTATCGGAGAAAATTATATCGTGATCACCCACAACGTTGTAACAGTGATCAGCCACGGCAGAAGAATTCATTTTGCCGTGTTTCAAATCTGATTTGTGCTCGCGAATTCGGTCAGAGACATGTCGCTTCATCTCCCCGATATAGCAATCACCGCAGGTACAATTCAATTTGTAAACCCCGGGGTACTGTAAGTCAGGAATGACATCCTTCACGGATGGGATCAGATCACGAATTTTGAGTACTGTGTTGAACCGGACCTGGATCTTGTGTTTGTTTAGAATTTTGGAAATCTTTTTAGTAATGCCTGCTAAATATGGTAGTGTGATGGTTTTGACCGGAGTATCAAGTGGTTGTTTCTGTATGGAGGGAAAGACAGCTTGGCGGATGCTACGGTCAGAGTAACCATTCCTTTTGAGGGCCAAGATGTACATGTTTTAATTCACTGGTCAGGTGGTGTTGGTCCGAAATGCAAGAATTCTTAATATATTTTTTGGAAAAAGGCCTACACACACATACAACACCTTGGGTGAATTTCGCTGTCCAAGGGAGGTTCGTGACCCCTGCTGTTTTCGTCTTTTGTTTTGTTGTGGGGTTTTTCCTTCATGGCGGCCTTCTCTTGAAGTCAACTGGGGATTTCCCGCAGAATCCCATTAGCCCCCCCTCCCCCCTTGGGTTTGCCATTTTTTTATTACATTTTATAACTTCCCCAGCAGACTTGTGAGTAATTATCCTCCAGCAGTCTTTTGTGTGGCAAGGCAGGAGGCAGCGGAGAGGGGTGACTCACCCTTTCCATGCCCCAGCGCTACATCCCGATCAAAATGATTACAAAACAATAGAAAGAATCAATCAATACAATTTTATGGAAAAGGCATATATACAACATGCTCTTCGAGTGTTTGTGATGAGATGATACAAAACAACTGAGTTGCTGGGGCGATTAAGCAAGCGCCATATAAATGCTAAAATTATTATAACATAGTGTAACATCGTGAATGCTTCGGAGATTATTGGCTCTGGCTCCTGGCTAGAGATCTACCCAACCCACAGGTCCGCAAACACTGGTTGCTCTTACTCTGCAGGTTGAACCTAGGAATGGAGTGTTCAACTTCACGTTATTGTAATTAAAAGCCTGTGCCAAGGCTGAATCTATTGGAGCTTCATTGTCTCAACCTTACACATCTACAGGGTCTCCATTTGACTTTGTATTGTCTAAGAAGTCCACCCACACCTCTACTTCCACAAACTGCTGGGAGTTGCCTCGCTCTGCCTCACAGTCAGAATTCTCCTCCTGCTTCACGTTGCCTCCATCGATGTGAAGGCCCAATTTTGGAGTTGAATCTTCATCTTCACATTTTACCTTCACTTCTTCGCTCTTCACTATCACTTCTTCACATTTCACCATCACTTCTTCGCTCTTCACCATCACTTCTTCACATTTCACCTTCGCCTCTTCAAAATCCACCTTGATACATTTCATTGCGTCCAAGCTGGAATTAAATTCTGGTTCTTTTTTCAGCAGGGATGGGCTCATTGCAGCACTATGACTTTCACAAGCCGATTTCAGACTCCGCTCCTTGGGGATCTTCTGATAACTGTGTGTCCTTTGGTGTCTTTGAAGATGTGATGGCCGTGCAAACGCCTTCCCGCACAAAGTGCACTTGAAGGGGTTCTCTCCAGTGTGTGTTCTCTGGTGTTTTGTAAGATCAGATGAACTTGAAAATTCCTTCCCACACACAGTGCACTTGAAGGGTTTCTCTCCTGTGTGCCTTCTTTGGTGGATCTGAAGACCTGATGACCGTGTAAATGCCTTCTCAAACACAGTGCACTTTAAGGTTTTCTCTCCTGTGTGCCTTCTCTGGTGGATCTGAAGACCTGATAACTGTGCAAATGCCTTCTCACACACAGTGCACTTGAAGGGTTTCTCTCCTGTGTGCGTTCTCTGGTGTTTTTTAAGAACTGCTGACTTTGCAAATGCCTTCTCACAAACAATGCACTTGAAGGGTTTCTCTCCCGTGTGTGTTCTCTGGTGTTCGTGAAGATGCGATGGCCGTGCAAATGCGCTCCCACACACAGTGCACTTGAAGGGTTTCTCTCCTGTGTGTGTTCTCTGGTGGCTTTTAAGATGTGATGACTCTGCAAATGCTTTCTCACACACACTGCACTTGAAAGGTTTATCTCCTGTGTGTGTTCTCTGGTGGTTTTTAAGATGTGATGACTCTGCAAATGCCTTTTCACACACACTGCACTTGAAGGGTTTCTCTCCTGTGTGTGTTCTCTGGTGTCTTTTAAGATGTGATGACTCTGCAAATGCCTTCTCACACACACTGCACTTGAAGGGTTTCTCTCCTGTGTGCCTTCTCTGGTGGTTGCGGAGAATTGATGACTGTGTAAATGCCTTCTCAAACACAATGCACTTGAAGGTTTTCTCTCCTGTGTGCCTTCGCTGGTGGATCTGAAGACCTGATAACTCTGCAAATGCCTTCTCACACACAGTGCACTTGAAGGGGTTCTCTCCAGTGTGTGTTCTCTGGTGTCTTTTAAGATCAGATGAACTTGAAAATACCTTCCCACACACAGTGCACTTGAAGGGTTTCTCTCCTGTGTGTGTTCTCTGGTGGCTCTGAAGAACTGACGACTGTGAAAATGTCTTCTCACACACAGTGTGCTTAAAGGGGTTCTCTCCTGTGTGTGTTCTCTGGTGTTTTTTAAGATGTGATGACTCTGCAAATGCCTTCTCACACACAGTGCACTTGAAGGGGTTCTCTCCTGTGTGCCTTTGCTGGTGGATCTGAAGACCTGATAACTGTGCAAATGCCTTCTCACACACAGTGCACTTGAAGGGGTTCTCTCCATTGTGTGTTCTCTGGTGTCTTTTAAGATCAGATGAACTTGAAAATGCCTTCTCACACACAGTGCACTTGAAGGATTTCTCTCCTGTGTGTATTCTCTGGTGTCTTTTAAGATGTGATGACTCTGCAAATGCCTTCTCACACACACTGCACTTGAAGGGTTTCTCTCCTGTGTGTGTTCTCTGGTGTCTTTTAAGATGTGATGACTTTGCAAATGCCTTCTCACACACACTGCACTTGAAGGGTTTATCTCCTGTGTGTGTTCTCTTGTGCTGAGTCAAACTTCCAGTATGATCCGTGCTGTATGCACACTGGTCGCATTGTTTCTTTTTTGTACCGAGCTGCGCAGAGTGCCGTTGCTCCATCAGACCAATTCTGCAGAGGAAGCGTCAGAGGAAGAGTCAGCTGCAGTCAGAAAAATGTATCCACACCATCTACGTCAGTATCAAGACACAGAGGAATGCATATATACACAGTCACACATGACTTACACATCTATACTTATTCATATATTCATGATATAGTGAAAATTATTCCCCAATTCATCACGCGGGCTGTTAAGGCACACACTGAGAGGGCCAATGGTCATACATATTCCTGGATGCCCTAGTATCTTCAAAATGAATGTTTACCCAAAACTCCAAGCACACAATTTCGGCTGTCTAGCTTTGAAAGGAATATTTAAGAAAAATCCAGCTTTAATAGCAAAGTGTGTTGACAATAATACTATTTGTATTATGCAAAAATGCATAAAGTAATGTTCAATCGAAACTTCGAGGTGGAAGCCAGGCTCAGATTCGCTTGAATGCTCGGATGAACAGATCTAACTTCAGCTGCATATGTGCTGAGATATTTTCCTGACTGTTTCATTCCTTCCAAAAAGTCCCAGAGGAAAATTAAAATAAACTATTGTTTTGATTTAACCTCCATGTCCAATCGTTAATATACTTTACTGCAAATACAAACTTGACATTGTCAAATACTGGCATGGTAAAAAGGTGGTGGTGTGTCCAGAACCATGCCTGGCCACGTTCATCTGCTCAGTATTCATGCTTCCTCACTTCACCATGTAATTAATTTAAGATCAATCAACATAGCAGAGGCCCACAATAAGTTCAGCTTTCACTTACACTATGTAACACGATTTTTTTTGTCGCTGGATGGCTAGTGTTATTTTTTTATTGGTCATGCCCACAAACTTTCGTTTTGTAACCAGGACTTTACGTGAAGGAATGACACAAATGCGCACGTTTTCTCATTGAAAATAGGTACATTTCAAAAGATCACTGTCCTGGTCACAAAAGCAAAGTTTGTGGGGAATAATAGCCATTTTCTGTACTTTTGAGGCATAAGCACTTAGAAAATAACACTTACTACGCAGGGTCAAAACATTTTTTGTTACACAGTGTTATCAATCATGTTTGCTGTTGGCGATAATCAAACTAATTGTTGAGTTCATAATGCAGTGAAATAACTGCAAGATAAACTCTTAAATACACGTACATTTCACATGGATCATTAACATATTATACAAACAAAACATCCAACATTCATGACGAATTGCAAGTAACCTTTTCCCAGTGCTAATGCCATGATAGGTGCAATTTAAGGCCATGTGTGGATTCCGTGTCAGCAGGTAATGGGAATGATCCAGGTGTCAAGGGATGACTGACAGAAGAACCAGCTGTGCTCCCCACTGTCTTGCTGGGTTTGAGGAACCCAGCGTTCCACCTATTATTCATGTGGGCGTCGCTCTTCCGACCTCATCGTTATTGCAGAGCAACTATCTCTTATCTTCTTTGGTTCTTTCGGTAAAGTCACGTAGAATGAGAATAAAATAATAAATTGATAAAATAAAATAACACAATAATATTCTCACGACGTTTCGGCCACAACACAAGCGGCCTTCATCAGGTGAAGGGGGCGAGACTGTCTTGCAGTCACGAAAGCTTTAAATCGAAATTTATCTCTGATCTGCCATGAAGCATACCTCACGGGCCTCCTCCACAGAGGCCGATCTCCGCTCCTGGCACCAGTCATCGGCAGGCCCGATCACCTCCACATCCTCCAATCTCTTCTCTAGCCAATGCTATGCCTGATCAGACCCTAATATCTGGACAAACAGAAGATGCTTGAGCAAGCAGTGTCTGGGAATGTGGGATTCATGACCAAACTAATGCAGCCTCGCCTGCCAAAGAAACTCAAGATTATATTCTATATTGATATCTTAAGGGTCTGTAAGCTTCTAATAGAATATAAACTGGTTGAATAGAGGAAAAATCATAGGCAGGCCAGCCTTCACTGTATAAGCCAGCACAGAGAGTCATTTAAATAAGTTCATATTTTGAATCCACAGAGTAATATCTGTGGCCAAGAAGAATCACAGCTTTGTCCGTTAGTTTCTGAAAACGCTTGTCCTGGTGAGGGTCGCCGGTGGCAGCACGCTGAGAAGGGCGGTCCAGGCCTCCCTTTCCCTGGCGACAGACTCCAGCTCATCCTGGGGAATTCCCAAGCGTTCCCAGGCCAGCCGAGCGACATAGTCCCGCCAGCGTGTCCTGGGCCAGCCCTGGGGTCATCGCCCAGTGGGAGGTGTCTGGTAGAGTTCCAGGGGGAGTCTATTGGGGGGCATCCTTACATATATTCTATATTGATATCACCCCTAGAGCCAGGGCCCAGGGGTTGTGTTCACCAACAAGCGCCTCGTGGCCGCGTGACCCACGTAGCTCAGTCAGGCCAACTCGAATTGGCTAAGTGGTGCCATCCTGTGCGTCGAACATCCGCAGGATGAAGGGTGAGGGGCGAGGGTGCGATGCCAGTATGGCAGGGAGAGGGATGGTCTCAGACGGACTTGACATTAGCAATGGACACACAAAGCTTTGTACGGAGCAAAAGTCCAGGCACCTTCCACACAGAGTTACACAGTCTAATGAAAGAATGCTGCTCGACTAATTTGAAGTGAGACTTTGGCTGCCAAACCAGAGCTGGTCGTGAACACATTAACCAGGTATGGGAGCTCCTACAAGATTTGTAGAACTGCGTGATTAGTCATGGAGAGTTGAGCAGGTGCAGTGTTGTATGACATGACATTCCCAGGCAGGTAATTTATTTTTGTGGAACATTTGCAAGGCCCCATTTCATGATGGAATTATCAAGGCACAGAACAAGATTCCCTAATTCCATCTCACTGAGTAGCCATTACCAAATCATCAGCAGATGTAACATGGTTGACCAGCAGGGAACGATCCCTTAACTATAACCAGGCATTGATGAGCGTATCATTGTAATCATAACGAATGCAATGGTTTTCATGTGACAATTTGGAGATTCTCAAACTACATAGTTATTGAAGATGCTATGTAATGTAATGCATGGGGCCAGAGTGAATTTCTGTCATAAGCAAAGTTGAACAGGAAATGGCTCCGACTCCTGGTCACGCAGCTTTAGACTGTCCTGCCCAAAATCATACAAATCCTCAAATAATGCGAACAGAAGAATAGATTTGAAAACAAACAACCCAAAGCCCCAAGCCTCTTTATGGTACTACAGGCCTTAATTAAATCAAGAATGCAGAGATCTAGTTTCTGTTGAAAATCCGTACACCTCTACTGTCGTCAATAGACAGAAGATACGGCAGCCCCTTGTATTTCGCGGAGGTTACGTTCTTGGAAATTGCTGCGCGAAAGATAAAAGCGCGATATTCAATACTTAAGCCTTACCAAAGTAATGGCATTAAGTAAACGTCAACGAAATTTGACATCACATATGAATTAAGTACTGTACTGTATTCCAAATAGACTATACAATTGAAATAAAGAAGAAGAAACCGGATACAAAAAAATATTCCAAGACAAAAAATAGTATAAATCTATAAAGATGAAGCAGACTTTGCGCTTGTGTAGATTTTTTTGGGAACCAATTTGCGCCAACACACCCCAAACTCTCCACACACACTCACGGGTGAGTTAGTGTGTTCTTCCCATCTGCTGCTGGCCTGTTAAACAAGGCCAAGGGCTTACACTGTTTTTAACATTTTATCTATAAAATGACACCTTGCCGATATTAACTATGCTAACCTATTTGTATTTATTATTTTAAAATTATATCTTAAAGCTATTTTATATTCGATATTTATTAAATTTTATATACTTCAGCCCCTTGGTGTTAGACTTTTAACCCTTATTATAGTAAGACTTGTTTAAAACTTATTTAAGATTTTAGATTCCTATATGTTGAATGTATGCACCATCCTGCCAAAGTAAATTCCGTGTCGGTGTGAACTTACATGGCGAATAAAACCCTTTCTGATTCTGATTTTCCACTATTTTTAGCTTCCCTGCTCACCTTCAACACCTGTACCACGTGCACACTCCAAACCCCCCCCCCCGCTCCTCACCTCCCCATTGCTTTCTCTTGCCATGTGTTAAAGCCCGGGGCATTCTCACAACTTCCGGTTTGCCACACATGCAAACACATTGACGTTTCATCTATGACAATTCCACGCACTCACCATGACATAAGTGTCTCCACTGCACTGCTACATTTGTTCTCACAGATCTACTTGCAAGTCTGACAATACTAGACAGGCTCACCAGCATTGTCAAAATGTCATCAACACCAAGAGGCAAATTCTGCAAGGTGATGATGGCTACCATTTCCTACTTCGCCAAACTGACCCAGCAACAAGTTGCCAACACAAAAAGATTGCCGCCATGGACTTCTTTGCCTTCAGGATCATGGTGTGAAACGGCAGCTTAAATCTCTTCTTGAGATGCAAAAAGCTCTTCCGCCAATTTGCCGTCGACATGTATGCCAAAATTGAAGCTTCATTCGATTAAAACCTATCAGATGGAAAAGAACATCCAACATTGTCTATCCTGAAGCACTCCAAGGGCCACGGATTTACAAGCCCTGCGATTGTATAACACAACCGAAAACGCGTTACAAAAACGCACATTTACCGGCTTCACTGTCAGAAATCAATTATTCTAACAAAGCCAGCATGGCAAGACATTACTCTTAATGTTTGATTATTGAGACCTGTGCGAAGCCGGGTAACTTAGCTAGTACTGAAAAAATTCTATACCTTAGATGTTGGTGCTTGAATGGGGAGCGGTAGTCCAACGGTTAGCGTCCTGAGCTATAATCCCAGCGAGCCGATTTGTATTCCTACAGAGCCAAGCCACGGCATTTGGCTGTCGCCTGATGAAGCTGGTTATAATTACTGGCGAAAAACATCGTACTCAGATTGTAAATGTTGTGGCTTGGCTCTCCAACACACAACCGGTGTGCTGTACTAGTGACGAATTTGCCACGTTCTTTTGACGTGACAACCCTTACTAGTTGGCTGTGTCGGGTGGTGGCGGGTTTACTGACACCTTTATATATCTTCTTTGGTTCTTTCGGTAAAGTCACGTAGAATGAGAATAAAATAATAAATTACTCAAATAAAATAACACAATAAATTTCTCACGACGTTTCGGCCACAACACAAGTGGCATTCATCAGGTGAAGGGACCAGACTGTCTCGAGGACAGCACTGGAGTGAACACAGCCAAGCTCAGACCGCGACCTTTAAGCTGTGTGAGAGGAAACAGAGCGCCTTGACAAAGGAATTAGCATAAAAATTAGCATTTAATTGGCGGACTTAGCGTGATGAACGGTGTAGAGGGGGTGAACATGAGCAGACCGGCGAGGGGGGGAGGGGGAGTTTACATATTGATGGTGTGAAAAGGGAATTTAAGCTGCTGCGAAAGTTTGGGATACCACTACTTGAAAAAATAAACTGTACCATTGAAAATTAGTTTAATGTTTGGTTCGGATGTATCTAGCATTGGCCTTCACCTGATGAAGGCCACTTGTGTTGTGGCCGAAACGTCGTGAGAATTTTATCGTGTTATTTTATTTTATTAATTTATTATTTTATTCTCATTCTACGTGGTGGTGACTTTACCGAAAGAACCAAAGAAGATGAATCCTTGCAGTCACGAAAGCTTTAAATCGAAACCTTTATATATTTAGACAATCTAACCCAGGGGGGTCCCCAACCCCCGGGCCGCAGAACGGTACCGGTCCGTGGCCTGTTAGGAACCGGGCAGCACAGCAGGAGGTGAGAGCGGCGAGTCCGCGCGTGGCCCGCCCATTGTTTTATTTACCAATTCCGTCCGCGCCACTTTTCCGCACTTGTCTCAGTCACAGTTTTGGTAAGCCCACGAGCTAACCCCTAGCCACAATGAGTAAAAAAACAAACGTTGTTGGAGAGCTTCTTTGAAAAAAGGGGGAAAGACCCAATGATGAACCCTCTTTGCGGATTGTACGGTCAGAATATCCGTTCATCCTAAGGGCTTGGTGTACGTGCTCCAGCTCACTGGTTAGGCCTCCTTCCCCCCTCTCTTACCTATATAACCTCTTGCCACGGCAGCTCTCCTGCCGACTTCAGCATTTTCTTGCTGTGGTTGTCCCACCTGATGAAGATCCATAATAAAGGTTATTGGGTTAGATCGCGTTTATTTATAAATGTGTTGTAACCCTCCACCACCCGACACGGCCAATCAGCAAAAAAAGTGTCACGTTGACAAAAAGACAAATAATTCACTACTTTAGCCCACCGATGTGTTGAAGAGTGAATCCACATTTACAGTTTGAGTACGACGTTTCGCTGGTAAATACATCCAGCATCATCGGGCAATTCGCCAGAATGGTAAAGTCCTCGCTTGCTCCCGGTTTTATATAGAGCAGCAGGGTGACGTCATCACTTAACTCATCAGGTGCAGTGATTAGAGGCGGGGGGGGGGGGGGGGGTATTGAAATTATATAATCGATTATTAATCAGTCATTGGTTATGATTAGTAATGAGTTGTAGATTAGTAATTCTTTAAATCAAAATGTAATGTGTATTATTTAATAATACGCTGCCAGGCCGCACTAAGCCTGTAGCTGTCAGAGCGATTAAAGTTATTCTTGTTCCTCTCAATTTCAATGGATTATCTAATTAGTCTTTGCCAGTAATAATTCGTTTTACACAACACTGCAACATTGTCAAAATCAATTGAGTGTCCTTGTTGACAAGCAT